TCTCCCCCCCCCCCCTTTTTTGCCGGTGTCTCTCTTTTCTCTTCTTTCTTGTCCCCTGTCCCCGCTGCCCCCCTTCGCGGAGTAGTTACGTACACGTTCGTAACATAACAACGTGCCAATATCGATAAGTCAGTCGGAACAAAAACAAGCGAAGGATCGGTTCGACTATGCAGCGGTATACTCAGTTACCAACCTTCCCATACGTCTCCCGTTCGGCACGCCGTCGCGATCTCGTTACACGCGCGCGTACACAGCAAGCTCGCGAGACGAGAGGAACCGAGAAACCGCTTACGACGACGACGACGAGGGGGAACAGAAGGCTACCCTTTCCTTCCATCCTGCCCGCCGTTCAACTTTATGCATCTCTCGCGAACCGTAAAATTGCCGACTCTTGCACGGATCGATGAAAATGGGGATTGTCGTGTCGACTGATCGATTTGGAGGTAGGTGTATACTGTGTGGATCGAAGGCACACGTGATACCTACGACCGCGAGTAAATTTAAAGTGTTACGTCGTTGAGGAACGGAAGATGGACCGTACGTGTCCGTTTGCAATGTGTAAACGCGGACCGTTCGAAAGTAAGAAAAATAACAGAACGGAGCGTTATTTTCGTGAAACGCAATCAGCGTTTTTGCGTAGTCTCGTCGAGGCAACTGGCGAAAGTCGTACTCTGGAAAGACCGAGTCTGAGCGATCGTGGCACCGGATCGCCAACGAAGAAGAGGAGAAGGAGGAAAGCGCTGTTGAGTTACGTGGTCGCGCAAGTGTTTGCCAATTATCTCGAACGGCCGGTCGACTCTAATTGGACTTTACGCTAGTGGGTGGGATCTGGGATGCTGTCTGCTTCTCGAGAGAGAAAGAGAGAGAGAGAGAGAGAGAGAGAGAGAGAGAGAGAGAGAGAAAAACGGTCCCTGGAGTACCAAGCCTCTGCGGTTAAGCGAAGGTAGAGTAGCGGAGGATATGTCCGAGGAAGAGGATAATTGGTCGAAAGCAGGGGAACGATTTGCTCTATTAAATCTAGCGGCTGGTTTCTCTCCGAGGAGGCACAAGTCTGAGTTGTTCCGAGGTGTTCACCCAGGGTTACGACGATCGTATCGCTTTATTACACACCTCCGGCATCGATCGCTGTAATGGAACGATCACATCGATCGCCGAACGCCTATTTACGGTCTTTATTTGGAAGCTAGCGTTGCCAGCGGTCCCGTAACTTTTCACACGATCATGCTACTGAATACCGAATCCCTTTTTTTTTTTTTTTAACGAGACGAGCCATAGTTTTACGTATAACGTAGTTTTCTCCCTTCTTTTTTTTTCAACATCTCTGCAACACGTTTACAGATTTTTGCAAAATAAGAAGATAGAAACTTTGCAATCTCCGATTAGCCGAGGATCGAGTTAGACACGAAGTAACAACTTTCCCGGAGGTTTCATGGAACGGAACGACAAAACGCAAGACGGAGTCAATAACATCCGCGTAAACACCCACACGCGCGGCCAGCAGCCCGTACTCTGGCTCTTCTCCACGGCGATTGAGCCACGACCCGGCTGTAAGTCTTGCACGGGTATAAACCAATCCTGAAAGGAGAACGCGATGCAACGGAGTATCCATTTCACGAACGATGGAGACATCGGGGGTACCACGTTCGATTCCAGCCATATGCTAATTCCTTTCTGAACCGGCACGTTCGCCGCGCTCGTCGTGTGTATATCGCCGCGGTCCGAACGGAAATAGGAGGAGACTCTCGAGGACACGTCCTCGAGCAGCGCGGCGTTAAATCTTTCGCCGTTCAAATCCCAGCTCGTCCCGCTTCCAAATCGGACTGTCCAACTCCGACTTTAAAATTGTTTCATCTCTTCGGGGCTGACAAAGCTTTGTCATCACGCTGCACATAAGCTTCGTTTTCTATTCACGAAACTCACGTCTTGCACCTCGAAATTGGATTAATGAACAAATTCGTGGTTTCAACTTCTTTTGCCGACTTTCGTGACTTTGATAGTAGTCGCTTTGCGGAGGAAAGAAAGCTTTACTCTCGCAATGAGGAATCGCGAGACTGCATAATATGGCCTCTGCTACGTTTCAGTATCCAACTGTATTCAGCAGAAGAAAGAACCAGCGGAGATGTCTGTAAAAGGAAGAGACAGCGGGTAGAATTTTCATGGATTTTCCAGCCCATCCATCAGCCATCGAAATCCACCTGGTTGTGGGTTCGCGTAGTGACCGAGTACACGTGCATGCACGTGCATACGCGAGACCTCCCGCAGAGGATTCAAGCGACGACTGATAAAAATGTCCCTGCTCGATTCTTCCTCCCTCGACTGTGACTCTTTCTCCGTTCCTTCGTTGACTCCCTCCCTCCCTCTCTCTCTTTATCCGTCTTTAGTCTCGTCTTATTTGGAGTGAACGAAGCACGAGGGACATGCGAGATTACCACAGCGCTGCCCGTTGAGACGCGCCTATCGAGACGAGACGAGACGAGACGAGACGAGACGCGACGAGCCAAGCGGAGCCATGCGGTAGGTACCTCGCAAGACTCCGCGGGATGATAAAACGACGGGGATGAGATCGGACCTCATGCGACGCGTAGACACTGTCCCCCTCTCAAGCTCGCGGGACCCGCGGCCTTCTCGCGGTTTTATACGATCGCCAACATTTCCAGAAATTCATCGACCTCTTCCTTGTCCTTCTGTTGACGTCGCTTAGGTTGTTCGTTAAGTTTAATATGAAAATTTAACGCAGTTCAACTCGGACGGATTAGGCCTAGATCCCCTGATTTGATGGCGCGATAAATTATCCATTCCCAGTTTAAGGGCCCAAACAAGTCGCGCAAAAATCGCAGTCGTTGGCGAGCGAGTGCCCTTTTTTCCAGCGACTTTTTCGTCACAGTCGTCGCCGCACCGTGGCAACGCTAAGAATAATTTATGTAATTCATCCGGCTAATGTCGGCGAACCGTGTCGTAAAGCGTCCGCATAACCAATTTGGCACTAAAAACTCAGCCACGGGTTGTCCCCTTAAAGCTTGTCCCCCTCTCTCGCGCAGTGCCATAACGTTACGAGTTACGAGTCCCTCTCTTCGGAGAGACTCTCATCTTCGTTGTCATTTTTGTCGGAGTTTCTCCGTTCGGGCCTTTCCTTTTCCCTCGCGTTTTTCCTTTTCTTTCCCGCTCCAATCTTCTTGCCCTCCTTTCTCCAACCTTCTCGCGCGTCTCTTTTCCTCCGCGTGGCACGTAGCTTTCGGCCGAGTCAGGTGGAGGAGAGCACGCTCGAACGCTGGACATTAGCATAGTAACTGGAGGTCCCAGCGGGCGCCTTATTAAATTTGTACCATAAGCAATATCGCGATGCGGACCGGGCTCGTTTCAATTTGCTAGCCTGGAAATTTAAGACGCCGACCGGGTCCCGTGTCGATGCTACCGTGTAACGGTGTCGCGTTTGCCTGCACCTTCGTCTTAACGCGGACGATTCGACAAGGAGAGTAACATTTTAGAACCGATCGCCTTGCGAATCCACGCGTTACGATAGAGTTTCGCAAAGATCGAGGTAGCTAGGTGCTTTGAAAATTATACACAGGATGGAAAAATCACACCGATCGAGTTCTAGAATCGAATAAAAGAACAATCTTCGGCTGTCTTCTCTGGCGTAAACTTACCGAACTAACAGAGTAAGAGATTACAACTGCCAGTAGTTAAATTACAAACAGCGTGCATTAACAATGCTCGTATCTCGGGTGAAATTTCGTGGGAAAAGGCAAATTCTGTCCAGCGCGGTTGCGATCCTCTCAATTCTTTCAATTATTTCGATTCTAGCTCCGTGGCGCGCGTAAATTTAAAACGGTCTGAAACGGTGGATCGCGACGCTCACTTCATCCTCGCGCCTGTGGCCCGTAGATTCACATATTAGCCGGTTTATCGCATTCCGTGGAATTAAATATTCCCCCGTAGTTACAATACTGTAGGTTACTTTACTATCGTACACGCTCTGCCGCACTCTTTAACGCGCGAGTCGTACGGTTGCAGCATCCTCTGGAATTACCGCTAACTCGGCCTCGCGATATTACAAGATGATCGGTGTTTTCGCGTGTTTGCCCACGAACGCGATATAATTACCGGGGGCCGGTCGTGATTTCTGCGAAGCTGAAAAGTTGCGTTAAACTGGGCTAATCGCCGCTCTGCTTAACAGACGAACGCGCGAAGCATAACAGAACCGCGTCGAGATATTCATCACCGCGCTCGTCTGCTCTTGGGATTGGGAGAAAATGAGAAATTAGGGTTGGTAACTTGGGGCTTGGACAAAATATTACTCGCGCTCGAAACCCTCTATTATCGATTATTAAAATTCCATTTCAAATACGGCGCACTTTATATTTAATTGTTTTTCCATTATTTTCCAACCTTGCCCCCCCCCCCCCTCTTCGTGTCTACGTGACGCAAAGCTGAAAGGAAAGGGAGGCTAATTAAGATTCCGAAGGTCAATGCGACTCTTGGACTTGGCTTTGACTCAATTAGGTTCATCATCGTTGGCGACAATGGCAAATGTGGCGTGCGTCTACTCCATCAAAGGCGGCAAAGTCCTCGAGGTGAGGGAAAAAAAGAAGGAGGTGCAGAGGGGCGGGAAAACAGAAAGCAAACGAACGAAATGACAACATGAAAATATAATAAGACGCTTGTGTCAACGGCACCATGGCGCTAATGATTACAAATGGCCGGGCCGACGTATGTACTCATTCGCGCCGACCAAAAGGACAAGTCGAGTGATCGATCGCTTCCCCCAATATTGCTTGATTCGATTTAGGAACCGATTTCGTAGCGCGGTCGAATTCTTGGACAACTTTCCATCGGAGGAACGTTTCGGTTCGATGTTTTGGAACGTAACCTGACGAGCATCGAGGTGAAAACGTTGCGCGATATAGTGTAGACAGCGTGAAGTCGAGCGATTACGGCAATCTGATCGAAATGAAATGAAACATTCTGGATAACCTCTCGACATGATTTTTCACTCGTAGGTCTCGAAATGTCCAGAGAAAGACAGGCTCATTTGCTGAGGAGAAGTCATAGATTGCACATTCCCAAGGATTTGAATATAGCAAAGAGTTGGTGCATCCTGAAACCTTTCGTTGTCGAGCACATCGTTGGGTCAGGATACGAGGCCGTTCCCTATGTCATCGATACGAAGGTCTATCAGATCGGTCACATCTTCGTTCGACAATCTTCTCACGTAAATTTAACGAAGACACGCGTGACGAAGATAGCATTCGTCTAATCGTTTCGCGTTCGACACGTTGCAGGTGCAATGCTTCTGCGTCGCTCCGCAATTGAAACTGCTCGGTCCCATTCGCGACTTTCTCGTGCACGAGAAAAGCAACGCCAGGTGGCTGGATAAAGATCTTCCAACGATCAAGACTACCAAGGATAATAGGAATTTTCGGGTAATTAAATCTCGTTTCTCCTTCTTTTCCTGGCGAGTGAAGGAATTTCTAAATTTCATGCAAAAAAAAAAAAAAAAACGTGTCACAATCGTCACGAAGGTGATACTCGAGGGTGGCAAACAGGAGTTGGTGTTCAGAGCTTTCGATTGCCATTTCCTGGACAAGGCGCCGGACCTGTCGATCGAGGGAGAGGTGACCATAGATCGCTCGACCCACGAAGGTACGACGCCACGGAACAGCGCCTTCGTACGAATGAAATAAACGCGGATCGAACTTTCTCCGTATCAACGGAATTATAGATAATGGCGGTGGAATCACGAGCGTCGCCGAAACAGCATTTAGATGCACGATCTCTACGTTTCAGACCTCGCAACGGCGGATTGGTTCGGTCTGATCACCGGAGTGTTCGTCGCGAGCGAGTTCGACATCCACGTGACGAGAAACAACCGCGAGAGAGTGTTCTACGTCGGTGGGAAATCGAACACCATCCTGTTCAAATACGAAATTTGCAAGATGGACAAGAACGGCAGCGTGTACGAAACTGTTAGTTTCCATTGAATCGCGATTGCCAACGTCGAATACGACGAAACTTACGATTCGTTCGATTCAGTCGATCACGGGAATGGAGTGCAAATGGCTGCCCGTAGTGGAAAGGAACATGAACGAGTTGCCCGTCACCGAGTTCGTCAATCAGTCAACGAGAGTCAAAAGTCAAAACAGTCCTGAATAAATTCTTCGCTTCTTTCGCGAACAGCTTCTCCTTGCGTAACTTTAGGAAACGTTAATTTTCCAATCTTCGGATGATAGCCGATCTCTGATGAAATCTCTTTCAGCTGCGTGCGAAAAGCTTCTCTTCAATTTCCACGAGACAGGGATCGAGGGCCACGACGCCGATGACACCGACGCGAACACAGCCGCAGATATAGCCGCATGATTTATACTTATTTCCGCGGCGGAGGAGGGAGCCGAAGCAGAGAGGCGCGCGTGCGCGCTTGTACGTAAGCCTGCGCCACGCTGCGGCACGCTTCATCGTGGTTCACCCAAGGCAGATCGTGTGCCGCGATACGAGGCGGGTCCGAGCGGGCGCGCGTTTGCCGGCGACTCTCCGCAAGCAAGCGCATCGCGCATGAATTATTGCGAGATCGGCGAACCGCGCAAAATTCAATAAAGTTATTTCGCCCATCGCGGACGCGTCAGCGTCCCTACGAAAGCCGAGGAGGAAGGAGAAAGAGAAAAGGGACGAGTCGAGCGAGTCGAGGGCGGCGTGGCGTGTACGACGATCCCCGATGGGATTGAATTATCGGCGTCAAAATTTCGCGTTTCGCGCGCGCGATTGGCCATTCTTATCAATAGCCTATCAACGAAGACGTTGCGAGTGTTAATTGTACGAATTGCGGGGGCTTTCAACCCCGGTTTCGATCGGCGACAAAGCTTCCAGCGACGTAACTTGGAGCGGCGGGATCGCTGGCCTGGTCTCTTTCTCTCGTAAACTTTCTCTCCCTCCTTTGTCGCTCTTTCGCACGGTGACGGCTGGCGAACGAAGAGGAGAGAGAAGGCTGAGGTTGCATTTGCATCTCAATCTCGCCGTTGATTTAGCAGTCGTCCGGGGCCATCACTCTTGCCGCGGGAAAGGTCGACTTTAGTATTTTTAGATTAGCCAGCCGCGATATACAGTCCCGCGTCAGGCAGTTTTTCAAGGTGGCCAATGATCCCATGGCGGAGGAGAGCAGCAGACGGTGAGGTAGGAGAGACGCCGAAGAACTCTTGGCGCAAAAAGCGAACGAGTTTGAAGGAGATGGCTGGCTTTCCTGCGAAAGAGAAGAAGGCCGTCTCGTCTCGTCGCACGTGGATTTCGAGTGGCTTTAAATTAAGCTGGCACGCCGGAGAAATGGCTTGGACAGCAGCAGAAATCAGGAAAAGACCCCGAAGGAGGTCAACTTTTGTCCTTGAAACGCACAACCGTGCAGTACGTGCGCACGGGGGGTGGCCGCGTCATAGGTCATCGAACCTTTTTTCGTAATGCAGCCACGCAAGGGTATATACCTACCTTTTACCGTTTGCGAGCGTTTTACGCTGCACTGATCGAGAACGAATCTTTCGTCGTAAATACATCCGAGCCGCGAGAGCAGGCTATATCGTACTGGCTTGCTGCGAGAATTCCGCTGGACTTCCTGCTCGCTGAGTTGTCTCGCGGTTTTTTCAATGATCGACGACGATCTGTATGATTTTTGCATATCATGAAACGCCGAAGTGTTTGTTAGATCATTTGTCGTCATATTTCTTTCTTCGAGCGTTATTACGCGGTGACCTCGATTCCCAGTTGCGCAAGAGAACAGTAAGCCATTTCTATCCCATTGCAGAGCACGTAAGATAGGTGTTGTGAGAGATCTCGTAAATTGGTAGCACATTACCAATGGTGAGATAGTTAACGACTGACCCAAGGCGTCCGATTTCTCGTTAATTTCTCGCATAGACAAGAAAAGGGCAACCGATCGGTGGTAAAACAACGGTCGTTATGACACTGTTCCCGCATTGTTGGAACGTGGCACTGTATCATGTAACGAGTTAACTTTTACGACGGACCACCTGCCGCCATCTTGTAATTGGTAAATAAACGCTATCTTGACTTCAATGGATCGACGAGAGCGAATACGAGAGCTCGGTGGTGGCAAAAGGCACCACGAACGATTCTTATTATTATCGTGTCAAACACGAGAAAGATGCTCGTATGCAGATGGACATCTTTGGTGAAGGATACAGGGTGAAACACGATTCGCTGAAACGTGTGATTTTCAAGTATCTTTGAGATGAAACGAGGGAAGAGACTGAAAAGCTAAAGTTCAAGTTTCTTTATTGTTACGATTTATTTATATTTTCATTGGTCAAAGTAGAATTTATTCTTAGAATTGAAATTAATCAGAGCACGTTCCAAGATCCTCGGAAACTGGCAATTTCTTTATCAATTCAGTATCAATTGATGTCATTCAATTTTTTGCTCGTTTTAAAACTGCAACATTGTAAAGCATCAGACGGTTAGAAAATTATAGGTTGACGCTGAATTGCAAGTATAGAAATGATGATAGTTCACGGTTCGATGTTTACCCCGTACTTAACGTACGCGCGTAAAAGCGGGTGCATCTAGAATGCAAGCTGCAGTTGCTCATTCCGTGTATAGAACGACTTCCGGTACGAGGGACGGAAAATTGTCATTACATGGCACGTGCCAGCCACGCGACCAGTCTCCTAGCCAAGAAATACTCGTTACCTGTGACAATTGACGTTAACGAGACGATCACGTCACAACGCGTAATTGCACGATCAATGCCAACGCCTTTGAACGACAACGGTCGTCACTTAACTAAGTCGATGACAAATAAAATTGCCTGCAGCCTGACTAGTCACGGATAAAATTATCTCACGTTTACCTTTCCTTACGACTCGACAAACACGAGACGAATGAGTCTTTTTTCACGAGTGAGAAAATTTAAAAGTAGAACAACTCGTAGACAGACTGCACCGACGTGACTGACGTGCCTGATCAGACACTTGAATTCCCGATTCTAACCGCTTATTACTCGTCCAGCGAATGCTGGATCTCCGATCGCGAGATCACGTCCTACTGAAAGACGAACGCCGCCGAGCAAGGTGTAAATAACAAGTTCTCAGTAACGCGTTAGATGGTAGATCGGAGAGAGCAGCGGTGCAGCAGCCCGATGATTTATAACAGTTCTGCAGCCAGTGGGACTAAAAATAACCGAAAACTGGTGGGCGTAACCCCGTTCGTATATATATATCGCGCGGCAGACCGCACATAAAAATGCGTATCTGCTTAGGGCTGGATAATTACGAGAGTCACCCGTTATCTTAGAAATCGTGCGGGTAGTGGGTTGGCGGTGCAACGATGCAGCTAGCAGGCACCTGCAGGCTGCGCGTGCCGACGCATGCACGCGTCCAGCAGAGGCCGATTGCCGTGACAACGCGTTGCGCACGCCAGCGAATGTAACGTCGTGTCTCGTCGTGTCCGTTTTGTTGTTTTAAACAACAGTTGCCATGGTGAGCGAACCGTGGCAGCGTGTCTCACCAGTCGCCACACCTGATTTCAATCGCTTTCCTAAGGTTTCCTTCGAGGAACCTGCCGCACACGTTGCACGCTTTTCGACTTTCCCGGCGCCTTTGCTGGAGAAAACGCAGCTTAGGAGAAATTTTCGAAGTGACTGGGAAACTTTAGCTCGGAGGAATGTTTCTATGGCGAATGATTAGAAGAGAACACTAGTCCTCCGTACGATATTAGTTGCCCCAAATACAGAAGAAACGAAAATTTCGCAATTAATCGGAACGTTTGTACAATTCCTCGTACGCAGATGGTCCAAGCGTAATTAACATTACGTCGTACACATAAGTTACGTCACGAAATTGGTATCCCCACGTTTGGGACTCGATCGTGTCCCCTTCGATTTAAACTAGCGGATGCGTACGGCACGAATTAATTTTACCGTTTGACCCGGGCCGACCCCGTTAACTTTTGTGTACCTATCCCACGGGTTTTGTCTGTTTAAGCTTCTTCCTGTTCTACCTACCGGTGCATCGACGTGTCGCGTTACGTTTTCGTTTCTTTCCCCGCTTTTTTTTCTCTCCCCTTTCTTCCTTTTTCGACTTCCTGCCGATACGGGTAGCTATTATCGCTGCTTCTTGAATACGTTACAGAGTACTTCCGCCAGGGGTCAGAGGAACGTCACTTCGCTCGTAAAAATCCACGTTGTTTCCCATTAAATCCATTAAATCTATCAAAACGTTTTTTTGAACACTTTTCGTGATATATACCATCCACTTTTGCATTTATTTCTCTCATAGTTTTTTTCATTAATTTTGATAAATTAAAATGCCACGAAATACCAATTTCTAACAGTGACGACAGCCTACTTCTATTTCTATTCTTGGCGACGAGCATGAGACGTAAAAATGTTTGAAAACTTTGAAATTTAGCTCGAGCAGCAGGTAACAGTAAAATGGGAATATAATTTTTCATCTCTCCGAACAAGAGTCTTCCAGAAAGCCAGATATTTCATGTTCACCATGGTGGCAAGAAACCGTTTCTGGAAACCTGCTGCGAACAAGATGGCGGTTTAAGGTGCACCACCACCTGCGGCCGAATGTCTTCGTGGTACCTGCGGGGTGGCGAGCCAACCCATTCGAGCATGATTCCTTCGCATATGTTCCAGCCTCGTTGGCGCAACACCGGCGTACGAAAAGCGCGTGCCAGGAGAACCCACTGAGTTCGAGCACTCCGTGGAGGACCTGCCAGGACTTGGAATCACGCAACCATGAATCCGCCGAAGGAGGCATTGCTGCACCTGCAACCCCCAAGAAAGGGTGCTCTTAACCAGGGAGCAGTCGTGCGTGATTCCTTGGCACATGACGCCTTGCATTCCGCCACTCTAACCAGCCACCTTCGTTTTTAGAGCATGCTTGGTGGCATCCTGAGAGGGAAATGTAGGACAAACGTTGAACATTGGAGCGCAGTATCTCCTATGAGAAGTTTTATTCATAAATTCCACAATTTTATCTCCCGTGCTTCTTGAATTAAATTACTTCAACATTTTCGTCGAAGACGAAATAACATCGTCTTCTTAATTGTATTTAAGTTATATCGTTGGACGAATTCGAGTTAATTGCCCGAACCGACGAGCAAATTCACCCCTTGAGGACGCCTTGGATTAACATTGCGCCGAA